ACAGAAATGTAAATATTAAGCAGAGCCCTAATACAGTTGACATCAAAGATGGCGATGGAGTTGCTATAGAAATCCCAAAATATATCTAGTACTTTCCATGAAAGATCCAAACGTAGTACTTCTGTGTTTCTTATTTATTACCACAGGTATTGCACAGCCTTTGCCCCAGGGGGTCATCTGCCCCTGTTCTGGGAAGACTTGGTGTCAAATCTTGAGCCAAGAAAGAAAGAAAAAAAATCATTTTTTCTATTGAATTCCAGAAATAGCAACACAAGCTGAGAGGAAATTAGCCCCTGTTGTCCCATTTGCATTCTCTGGCCATCCCTCCTGTCCAGCTGGGCATTCCACCTGTGAAAGGAATTCGTCTCTCCATTCCCTCAGGTTTCAGAATGTATTTGGAACCCAAGCCACCTTGCAAATATTTTTGTAGACTGGAATGCAACTTCATACAACATATGCGCATCTGCCAGCTACTTTATTTTGCAGTGGTCATAGCTTAGTATTCCCTAGGATAGCTTTCAGGGCTTCAGATAGAGTAATCACTTGAAGACCAGCCAAATAGTCAAATGTTTATTTTTGTTGGGTAGAAGGGAGAGAGTGGAGTTACTGGGATTTGAACTCAGAACCTCAAGCCTGCTAGGATGGTAGCATACTGCTGCCTCGCCTCTAGCTCTGGTTTTTAGGATAGGATTGCTCTTCCTTCCCAGGAGTGTAGGTGAGCCAAATTCAGCCTCCCTCTGCTGGACTTTTATGCCAGGGCTGGCTTGAAGTGTGATCCTCTCAATCTCAGCCTACCACAACCACTATGTTTCCGTATGGATTGAGAAGGGGTCTCTCGAACCTTTCTATCCAGGTGAGCCCTGAACTGTAATCCTCTCTCAACCTCCAACGTAGTTAAGGGTGTTAGCTACCATCTAGCTATATTGGCATTTTTTTGACCCAGGCAAGGTTTTTTGATATCTGAAGATATTTCTAAAATATTTACCTTTGGGAAATTGTTTCCATAATAAGTTATGCAAATATATTTTTCGTCAGTTTTAGATGTCTTTAGTTTTTAATTAAGACCATTGCCTGTGGAATCACAATCACTAAGTGGAAGAACATTTTGTTAGGTAATTAATACTATTTTTGTATGAATTTTCTGATTCCCTTATTTTCTCTTAACATAAGGGAAGCAAATAAAGAGCTGACTGTAGCCAGTTACTTTTCTCAGAGGGAAAGCATCTACAAAGCACTCTCAGTATTTTCTTTCTTCTGGCCAGTTTATTCTGATAGGCATTAATATACTTAACTGGGTAGCTAGTTTGTCTTTATTGTTGAACACTTTTCTTTTTCAATCAAAGTAGTTTTTTCTGGTCATTTGGGTCTTAAATTGATTGGCTGTTATTCCTTCTCCCCCCCCCCCCCAAAGGGGGGCCAGACTGCATATTTTCAGTCGCTCAGGTTTTTTTAGATTTGTTCAGGAGAGCAGATCTGTCAGGCCGCTGGCCAATCTGAGCACGCCATGTGATGTTGTGAGGGGAGTATCTGCCCAGGAGCCTGGGGATGTGAATTAGGAAGAAGGTTCGGGGCTAAGCCAGCCTCCTGTCATGCCATTGGAATGAAGGTACTCTCACAACCCTGAGTCCGTTCTATAGCTAAGAGCAAATGATTGCTAAGAAGGAAAAAATGTGAAACCAACTAAAGAAGAAACTTGTGTTTACAGAAGAGGATATTTTAATGAGTTTAGACCTTGCAGTTATTCAACTGCACTTCTTTTTGGAGCAAATATGAAAACCATTATTTATGGAAAGTTTAGGTTTCACATGTCACATCATCTTCATATGTGTGTGGTTTGGGGGTTGGGCTCTCCCACCTATATTTGCTTTGCTTGTATAGTTTTATTTTTACCTTCCTTTGCTTTGTTTTCAGGGTAGGGACTTTGTTTTGGGAGGAGGAAAGATGAGCTGAGCCCCACTTTCTTCTTTCTTGATATTTCTAAACAGATGGCTTCTCAGTGCATTGAGCATTTTTTGTATTTATTACTTCAAAAAAAAGGTCCCACCTCTAGAGGGGGCCTGTGTCTGCAAAACAGCGTGTGCCTTCTCTGGATGAAGCTTTCTTTAGAGCCTGGTATCCTGCATTTACCCATGAGCTAGACTGCTTTGCAGGAAAATGCTTCTTTCCTTCCTTCCCTTCCCTCCCTTCCTCTTCCTTCCCTTTCCTTCCCTCCCTTCCTCTTCCTTTCTTCCCTCCCTCCCTCTCTCTTTCTTCCCTCTCTCCCTCCCTCCCTCCCTCCCTCCCTCCCTCCCTCCCTTCCTTCCTTCCTTCCTTCCTACCTTCCTTCCTTCCTTTTTTCCTTTTCCTCTTTATTTCTGTCTTGCTTTCTCTTTCTCCCCTCTCTCCCTCCCTCCCTTCCTCTTGCTTTCTTGCTTTCCTTCCTTCTAAGAGTTTTAATTCCACATGTCAGTGTGTAAGTACAATGCATCTTGATCAATGTCACCCCTTCCATCATTCTCCCCACCTCTCCTAACTCCACCCATTCCTTCAGGTTGCAGTTCCATTTTCATATACACACATTGAATAGCATGACTTTTTTCCCACTCACTTGAAGGTAGGTGTCATATCCATCTAGCCAGCCAGCTGCCAACAAAATTGAAGCAGAGAGAAGAATGATTTTGCTCTGTTTGCTTACTCCATAGCAGCTTCACTGTGAGGAGAAAGAAATGTAAAGTTGGTTTCCAAGATTGGCCTGTGAACTTAGGAAGACTCGCGTCACTCCAAAGCGAATCCATTCCGTTCTGTGGGGAAGCCCTGTGACCTTGTACTGGTGCCTTTCATTTCTGACCCCAAGCTAGGACAGCTCTTGTTCAGATGGCACAGGCCAAGTTTTTCAACAGAGAGGAAGCTGTCCTAAAGCAAATCTCCACTACGCTAGTTCCTCTCCAGTTTCCTCATTACTTTGGGAAGGGATTAGCTGTTCTTCCTTTTTACTCTTTTTTTTTTTGCCCACTGTGTGTAGGGAAAGGGGAGAGAGAGACACACAGAAACAGAGAGAGTATATACTCACAAGCAGAAGGACTGTGGCTACGCTGATAGAACCGCCATCCATGGAGATGAGCTCTAAAGCTACTTACTTCACCAAAGGATGATCATTGATTGACTGTGTGTAGTGATGGGAGGTCAGAGACTCACTCATAGATTAAGGTAGTAGAGTTGTGAATGTTGACATTTTCATTCCAGATGCTTAGTTTTCATGTAAGAACTTTTTATGTTACTTACTGTAACTTTCTCTTTAGGTCAGTTAAACAGATCTTATGTCACTCTTGATTGTACAAATTATATTCCTGGGATTTATTTCCTTTTTTACCCTCTTAGCTTACAGAGAGGACCCAAATGGAAAAGCATTAAGTAAATACGGCATAAATGCAATTCTCTCCCCTCTTGTCCAGTTTTTGTAATTAGATCCATGAAAAAAGGCAGAACACCTGTCTAATGCCCAGTATGTCCTGATCCAGCAGCGTGGGAGACGGTGACGCCCATCCTTCAGCCCCTCCTCCCACTCCTGCCCTTCATATCGCTGATCTTTTCAGAATCATGTGTTTATTTGACAAGTCAAGTAAGAAGAGACTCATGACCCACTTTTGCTTAGTCTCCCTTTAAAAATAAATGCATTCTCCCCAGAGCTTTTTGGTCCATGTACTTGGTAATTTTTTTCCAAAGTTAATAAAAAAACAAGAAAAAATAGAACCAATGCAAACCCATTTTAGGGACATAGAGGCTCTCCTCCTTCTCAGTGACAGTCACCAGAATTAGTCAGTGTTTGCTCTCTTGCTCTCCCTCCCCCCCCCCCCCCCCACACACACACACATGCATACACCTTATCCTTTATAACTTCCAGATGTGTGCTAATTCATTAGGATACAGTCAGCGTTTCTACTTGCTTTGAGACCGTTTATTAGACTTGTAGCCCTAAGGAAATCACATCCGCTAGGAGTCTTATTTTCCTCCTTCATTCTTCAGTCAACAAGTCCCCTACAAGCATTACCCGGTGGAAAACGGACCTCAGCCCTCACCTCTGCTGGAGAAAAGGGCAGAGCAAGGAGTGTGGGTTCCTTGACCAGCATACACCTGGGTGCTCAGAACTTGTCCGCTCTTGTTATTGTCATCAAAGGCAGAGGGACAAGGAAAACCTTGATCTCTTCTTGGAAGTGGTTTTATCCTACCATCTTTCTCTTGTATTTCTGACTCTTGTCAGGAGCCCATTCTGCTTGAATTGGGGCATAGCAAAGCATGGGCACTCTCCTGTCATCTGGGCATGGAGGCAGGGTGGTAGGGGAAGCTTCTGGTTTTCTGGAACAAAGCATGCTCTTTAACTCTTGATTCTTTCAGACACTATATTGAGTATGTAATCTTGCAGATTCATACTTGGAGAGCTTTTAAATTTTTTTTTTTTTAAATGCTGGTATTGGAGTTTGAACTCAGGGCCTAGGTGATTTCCTTCAGCTTTTCTACTCAAGGATGGTGTTCTACTACTTGAGCCATACCTTCACTTCTGGCTTTTTGCTGATTAATGGGTGGTAAGAGTCTTATGGACTTTCCTGCCTGGGCTGGCTTTGAACCTCAATCCCCAGATCTCAGCCTGTTGAGTGCTAAAATTACAGGCATGAGAACCTGGCAGAAACTCTTCTCTTTAACAACTGAACCAGGTTAAAGCTTAGAATGGTGCCAATTCCAAGTGCTTATTATTATTATTATTATGTTTGTCGGTCATGGGGCTGGGCCTGAACTCTGGACCTGGGCGCTGTCCCTCAGCTCTTCAGCTCAAAGCCGGCACTCTACCACTTGAGCCACAGTGCCACTTACATTATCAGGATTTTGATGCCAAAAATTTCTGGTGAAAGGTAACTGACTTGGTGACAGCCTTAGGCAAGGCCTTGGGGAAAGGAAGTCAACAACAACCTTACTTCTTTCTAATGGTATTATTTTTCCTGTTTTGTTTTTCCTTTGTTGCAATGCAGAATATGAGTTGGAAGTAAAGAAGGTTCAAGACATTCTTTCCGGGATAGAGAAACCACAGGTATGTCTTCTGGATTTTTCAGCACAAAAGATGCTTTATTTTAAGTGTGAGTGAGTGTGTGTGTGTGTAAGTAAGCACAGTAAGTAAGCAAAAGGACCATTTCCCATTGAGGATTATTTATAAACTATGAAATTGCCATCAGTTATTAATGGTACATGAAAATATAGAAGAAGGGTATTCTGTGGTGAAATGCTTCCTTTATTTCGGGATCTGGATACAGTTGGATATTCTCTCACCTTCCTAGGATACATTTTTTAAAAAAATTTCTTGAGTCTACAGAGCAGTTTTCCTTTTACTTGAGTAAATGTAGTAATAGTAAATTTATAAAACCTCAAAAATTCCAAGTGTTTTTTTTCCAGGTAAATCCTGGGGAAGAAAAAAGATATATAAATATTAGCCGAGACACACAAGCTCGGGGCATTGGGCTCAGCAACAGGAAAACTGCTGTTATGAGTATTGATACTGTTTGGTTTTCAGTTGGATTTTGCCAGGTGCTTTGAAATTCAAGTGAAAATTCCAGAATGTTGATTCCACCTTTCTTCTGAGATGTACAGAGCTAGCATTCTATGGAATGTTCTCTAGCTGAGTTGGAGACCTTGATTCTTCATGTGTTTTGAATACTGAGGCTTTCTAAGGAGAATTCAGCCATGCCTCAGGGTGCATAGTTGAGTTTGACTAAACCTAAAAGCAGGGGTGTGTTGGTGGGGGCGGAGGGAAGGGGAGAGAAAGTGTGTTTGTGAAGGAATGAGACCTTGTTGTAGAGTTGAAGATTCTGAGCTTCCTTTGGGAAAGAATGGGCTCCCACTGAGGACTCTGAACAGAGGTGTTCAGTAATCAGGGCCACATTTTTAGAATGCTCAGAATGCAGATGGGTTGGAGCAATAGTATTCTATTAGTAATCTCCTCCTGTGGTTCTCACAAAGTCAGAATTTGGATGACTTAAGGAGGGGCAAGTATTAGACCCACCATAGAGATGATTCTGGAAGGTGTTAGAGATACTGTATGTCATGGCTTCCAGTTTCAATTGTGTCCTGTAAACGCCCCCCCCCCCCCCAATTATTGTCCACATCCTCATAGAACTAAGCGCCTCTGGTACTGAAGCCACATGCACTGGGCTCTGACTTTATTCAGCTCTGCCATGGTCTCCAGTGTATTACTTCAGTCTTTTCCAGTTATCTGGAGCCCTCTAAGTGAAGTTCATCTCTAGGTGTTTCTTGTTTTGTGCTAGGTCTTAGGCCTAAGCACTGTCCATAAGCTTTTGTGCTCAAGACATAGCATTCTACCAGTAGATACACAATTTCTGGCTTTTTGCTGGTTAATTCAAGTTAAGAGTCTCAGACTTTCCTTTCCCGACTGGCTTTGAACCTAGATCCTCAGATCTGTTCCTCTTGAGTAGCTAGGATTACTGGCATGAGCCACCAGTGCCTGGCCTTCTAGTTCCCTTTTGTGGTTTCAGTGCCATCCTTAGTCATATTGAGCTAGTTTCCTAAGAATCGTGGGCAGCTGCAGTGGACAGGAGGACCACAGATATTGGAATGACTACTCATAGACGGCCAGACTGGAAGGCAGTATGAAAAGGCTTCGGAGCAGAATCATTGAGAAAGCTCATCATATGTAGCACAGCAAGAAGAAGAATACTCCATAACGAAAATAGAGGGAGCAAAGTCAGAGAAGGAAAGCAGACAACACCATCCCAGAGGTCCTTCCTCACAGAGCTTTCTTGCCCTGTCTCGGGGCTGTGCACACAGTGCATACAGTGCACACAGGCAGGTGTACCCGCTTGCTTCTTTACTGTACAAGTGGCACAACCTCCATTCTGAGATACTAGTAAGATAAAAGCAATATTTCATTGCATTGGTCCTGTTTCTTCACTCAGCATCATCTTGAAAGCAGGGCAGATAGATAGACTTTATAGCTCTGGTGGAAGGTAAAATATGGTAGGATCGTCATCTGAGCATTTTCATCTGTAACACCTAGAAACTAGGATTGTTTGGCCAAAGAAAGAGATAGATGCTGGTGGTACCCAGGCCAGCCTAACTCAATAGCAATGTCCTCATCGTGAAGAGCTGGCTGGTTAGAGCTCAGTGGAAATCTTTAGTCTCAGTGTCATATAGCTAACCATCAGCATTCTCATTCAGTGCCTACCCAGTAGCCTTTTGAGAAGTTGACTTCCCTGGGAAACCAAGGGAAAAGTCCATGCGGTCTGTTGATAGTACTGTCTCACCTCTCCGAGCATTTTGTTTCTCATTATGAAGGAATTAATTGGGGATCTGATTTTATGTATCAGATTCTATGAGTCTTATTTTCACTGCCAGTGTATTTTCACATACCTGAATCTGATTGACCATGACACAGCAACTGGGCGAAGGCTATCCTTGGTGGGTTACTCTGGTAAATGCCACAGAACAGCAGCCTGCGCTGGGGACTAGCCAGCTTACATGGACAAAACACTAACCCTATTCACTGCCCTGCCCCAAATTTCCAAAATGGCTTGGGAGGTTAGAAGTGGAAGCAAAAGATACCATTTCCATATGAGCATGGTTTAGTCAGTAGAAATAATACGATGCCAAGGCTCTTCTTTATTAATTTTATTTTTAAAATTAAGTAGTTATATATAGGGGTTATGACTGAACACATGTTCGTGAGTACAATGCATCTTGGTCAATGTCACCCCTTCCGTCAGTCTCCCCATCTTTCCCAACCCCACCCATCCCATTAATTTACCTTGTTCCATTTTCTCATATGTACATTGGACTACTAAGGGTATTCGTTAATCTTGTTGCATAAGCAACATGTTACCTAGGATTGCAGGAGACAAGCTGAAGAACTTGTAGATGAGGAGAGACAAGCACTACGATCCAATGCTCTTTTTGCCAGTCCTGGTGCTTGAAATCAGGGCCTGGGCACTGTCTCTGAGCCTCTCTGAACTCAAGGCTAGCATTCTACCACTTGAGCCACAGTGCCACCTCTGGCTTTCTCTGTTTATGTGGTATTGAGAAATCAAACCCAGGGCTTCATGCATGCAAGGCAAGCACTCTACCACTAACCCACATTCCTAGCCCATCTAACGCTCTTTTTAACAGTGTTGGGCTTGCATCTTGCCTTTTTGTTGTTGTTGTTGATCGTGGGGCCTGAACTCTGGGCCTGGGTGCGGTCCCTTAGCTCAAAGCTAGCATTCTACTACCTGAGCCACAGTACCACTTCCGGCTGTTTCTGCTTATGTGGTGCTGAGGAATCAAGCACTTTACCACTGAGCTACCTTTCCAGTCCTGCATCTTACCTTTTAATCACTCTCATATAAATGAAGTCACCTGGTTGGAAGTCAGTGCTGGGACCCATTTGCTTCTTAGCTTGTACTGAGAAACACAAGCTCACTGCCCTTTGGGTCAGGTGGGATGGCAGTGTAGATGTAGCTAAGACACCTTCTGAAGGCAGTCACAACCATGAAGGATTTATGAGTGTTGTGCTAATTTATGTTTTCTACTCTTGCACATAATTAACACAACTTTGCTCCTTGCCCAACTATGTTAGTTTCCTATTGTTGCTAGAACAAATAGCTGCAAATCAAATGGCTTAAAAGCAATTTAAGTTGCTGGGTAACAGTTGCTCACACTTGGAATCTCAGCTACTCAGAAGACTGAGATCTAAGAATCGCAGTTCAAAACCAGCCAAGCCAGAGAGTCTCTGACACTCTTATCTCCAGTTAACCAGTAAAAAGCTGGAAGTAGAACTGTGGCTCAAGTGATAGTATGCCAGCCTTGAGTGAAAAAGCTAAAGGACAGTGCTCAAGCCCCAGCATTGGCACCAAACAACAACAGTCAAAATTATGTTACAGTTCTGAAAGGCATGAAGTCCAAAATGAGTCTTGCTTGAGCTAGCATGAAGGGATGAGCAAGGCTCTTTTACTTTCTGAAGTCTTTTCCATTTCCTAAGGATATCATGCATTCAGCGGCCTATGGCCCCTTCTGCCTTAAACTTATCATTCTTACCCCTCACTCCACTTCAGTTGACCTGTCTGTCCCTCTAACTCCTGCCTCCCTCCTATGCACATAAGGATTTTTGTGATCACTGTGGATCTGCGTAGGTAGTGCAGGATAATCTCCCCATCACAAGATCCTTGCTCTAAGCGTATCTGCAGAGTCCTTATTACTTGCAGGGTAATACATAGACTCACAGGTTCCTGGGCATAGGGGATGGATGTCTCTGGAGCAGAAGATGCCCTGCATACTTTCATACTTTATCTGTCATTCATGCTTATCTTACTTCTGCATTCCTTGTAAACCTCCTCTGCCGGGGCATCTCTTTTTTTTCCTCTCCCCTTTCTTTCCCTGTCTCCTACTCCATCTTTATAAAGTTCTTAGTCATGACTGTGTCTTACTTATCTTTGAGACCCTACTGCCTAACACTGTCCTTGGCCCATAGTGAAGCCCTATCAGATGTTGCCTAATAAACATGTGGCAGACTTCAGTGTCTGTGGCTGGCTTTGGCAGGTGGGACAAATGCCTGAAGGCTAGCAGGCATCAAGACCTCCTGCTCAGCCAGCACAGAGGAATGCTAGCACCAGAGTGTCAGGCCACCACAGGGAGGGGAAGGGCCTGTGTTCACAATTGGCCAATCAGGCCTCAGACATGAGCACAGCTATTAACTATCTCCCCATGCTTCAGATTTCTTATCTTTGAAGAGTAGGAAAATAAATATTGCATGGTTTGAGAAGTAGAGAAGTTTGAGAAGTAGATTCTGTATTCCGTGGAATACTTATACCATTTCCTTAAGCAAATGTGTGACACCCTGTCACACTGTGGAATTCTGGGAAAGACATCACTCTGCAGAAGACAACAGACATACGTTGTAAAATGGGTCATTAGTTTTCTGATCTTTTTTTTTTTTTCTTTCAGGCACATCTGGTTCCCTCTCTAAATAAAAGACTTGTCCTTTTCTTTGAGGTTTTGCAGGTGACTTGTGGATTCTAGTCATCTTTATGGGACAATGTGGGCACCTTGAATCAAGCAAGTCAATTCAATCCTGTCTATACAATTCAATTCTCTGAACAACTAAGTGAGTCAAGATTGACTTAATTGTTCAGAGCCCCAGACACTGTAAATACACAGATGCGTAGCCAATTGCACTAAAACAGTATATGCCACACTGGCCTTTTGTCCTGGACTGTAGCTTTCCCAGGGTATCCACTGAGTGCTGTAGCAGAAGAATCAGCTCAGATTTATCGGAATGAACATCACTTTCAGCCTCCTGTAGTCTGACCTCCTCGGGCCATATCACTGAAGGTGGCCTCTCTCATCCTGGTGGGCTGTTGATTTTGAAGATGTAAATAAACATAACCTGGAGTAGTGGCCCTGCATTCTCATGCACTCATGTTTAGCTTGCAGAAACAATTTGTTGGTTCCAGAGTATGATCTGAGAAGGAATACTTCCCCCCAAGAAGCAGTTTTGTGAAAGATAAACAGCAGCATTGGCCCTGGGAACCGATCCAAGGCTCTCAGCACATGAGGAGTATAGAAGCAGACGATTCAGAAATTTTTAGATTTGAGTATGCCTTTTTATTTGACCTGTTCCTTTCTCATTTATTTTCCTTTGTGATGTGATTCCTTGTGGTGGATGACTTCAGATTTGAAGACCTCTATCTCTAGGGTGACACTTCCTTAACTTCTCTGTGATCAGATCCAGGGGCCCCCTAACGTGGCTGAACCCAAAGGCCAAATAATCCAGAAAGTGCTAACGTGCCAAGCAGTTCAAAAGGGGTAACAGTGATGCCGGGCGCCGGTGGCTCACGCCTGTAATCCTAGCTACTCAGGAGGCTGAGATCTGAGGATCTTGGTTCAAAGCCAGCCCAGGCAGGAAAGTCTGTGAAACTCTTATCTCCAGTAAACCACCAGAAAACTGGAAGTGATGCTGTAGCTCAAGTGGTAGAGCACTAGCCTTGAGCTGAAGAGCTGAGGGACAGTGCTCAGGGCCAGAGTTCAAGCCTCATGACTGATAAAAAAAAGGGGGTTGGGGTAAACAGTAACAAGTTACTATCTATGAAGAGAAAAAAAAACGTTTCTGATCCCAATAGTGCATATCATTTCTCTATGAAAAATGGTGAGCATAAAAATCATGATTTCCCACAGAATAGTACTAAATAGTGTGATGACCAGAAGAGACTGGGGAAAGAGAGAGGCAAGGACTACATACTGAGTCTGAGAATGCAGATTTATCACTTATGCACACACACACATATTTGCGATCTGCTTTTAATAGTCGCATAGACAAACCTAATTTCTAATTAGCATGTGATCAGAAGTAGAGACCAGCCAGGCGCTGGTGGCTCACGCCTGTAATCCTAGCTACTCAGGAGGCTGAGATCTGAGGATCGCGGTTCAAAGCCAGCCCGGGCAGGAGAGACCGTGAGACTCCTATCTCCAATAAACCACCAGAAAACCGGAAGTGGCGCTGTAGCTCAAGTGGTAGAGCGCTCGCCTTGAGCTGAAGAGCTGAGGGACAGCGCCCAGGCCCAGAGTTCAAGCCCCACAACCGACAAAAAAAAAAAAAAGAAGTAGAGACCAATTTTATAAATGCCTCCAGTTACTTAAAAGCAGTTTAAATACCTCCTTTATACATTTACACTGGTCACCTCCCATCGATGCACTTGTATCATAATACAAAAACAAGTGTCAGTGTGTCGAAGCCACACTGGATCTGGAAGTCATCACTGTTACAAAGGATATTGACTTCATGTTATGCCAGTTAGTTACATACTAGCAAGTCAGTCTTGTGGCTGCTAACCTTTTTTTGGGAGGTGGGGGGAGTGAGTCAGCAGCCAGGATGGTTGAGATTACCTGCTTTGCTTCAGTGCTCACAGATGCTGAGAAGGTTTAGGCATAGAGTGCTGTGTAATGTCAGGCTCAGGTGATGGTGCTGCTCTGAGCAGCTTGAGCCTGTCTTCTGAATCTCACAGTACACTTTCCAGGATACTGGAGTAAATAGACTGGGCACTGAGCCTTCTCCCCCAGCTGATGTTCTCTGGAAAGACTCTGTAATGTCAGCCTTCAAGTAGAAGTGAGCCACATCCTCAGGATGCCAGGGATAGAAGTAGGGAAGCTTAAGGCTGAGAGTCATGGAAGGGTGGGTGGGAGGTGAGGGAGAAGCCTGAGCAGGGGCTCTGGAAGCATGATGCGTAGTTTGAGTGATGTTCATAGACCACTGTCCTTCAAAAATGCTGCAGAGTCCCCAGAGAGCCCCCGAGAAAAGGTAGACATTGTCATCGCTGATGCCCCAGCTGTTAGGTGCCTGTGTTCACAGAAAGAATAAGCAAAGGTTCTCTGTTGGGGGAGAGGGGAGAGGAAATCTGACCAGGCACCTGTGGCTCATACCTATAATCCTACTCAAGAGACTGAGATCTGAGGATTGTGGTTTGAAAAACCAGCCAGGGTAGGAAAGTCCATGAGACTCTTATCTCCAATTAACCACCTAAAAGCTGGAAGGGGAGGTATGGCTGAAGTGGTAAAGCACCAGCCTTGAGAGAAAATGCTAAGGGATAGAACTCAGGCCCTGAGTTCATGCCCCAGTACTGGCACCATTAACAACAATAGTAATCGTAAGTATATCAGCAGGAGCTGGTGAAAAAAGCCAAGCTTGAAGGGCGGTGACTTATGGATCTGTGTTTGGTATCTAGAGCACTAGCACATGGCTGAGCTGTTTTGTGACATAATGCTGTTTTCTACCATAATTCATGAAATCGATGCTGATGCATTCATTCTTGGTTCTTGGAATTCTGAAAAGCAGCCATTTGTCACCTGGTGAATGTCTTCCCAATATCCCATCAGCCTCCTTTTTTAAAATTTCAAACAGATCTCTTCAAAGCACAACATCTTCTTAAGTTGAAAATCAAGCATAACACTAAGTACCTCAGGCTTACTGGTTCATGTATTAAAGAATTAAGCAAATACACTGACAAACATAAGGGGTTCTATGTGCAAATGATAACACAAATAATAATTCTGTCTACAAACATGTCATGCTCTGTGCAATGAAGCAAGCATCAGATATTAGTCCTGGGAAATTGTGGTCAGAACACAAAGCAAACCTCTATCATTTCTGATTGGGGATCTGGAAGGTCAATTCAGACACTTCATGAACCTGGAGCTTTGGAGGTCTCTAGGCTCAGAAGCAGGCAACTGAGGCAGGAACTGGGAGAAGGACAGGCAGGTCGGCTATGGAGCAGACTACTACAGGACGCTGCCACAACTCCCCAAGCAGTGGGAGGCTGACTGAGTGATGGAACATGCCTCACACCAGAACTGAGAGTGGTCCAAAAGTCAACCTATGTAGGTGGGCTCTCATGGCTCATGCCTGTAATCCTAGCTACTCAAGAGGGTAAGATGTGCAGATCATAGTTCAAAGGCAGCATGGGCAAGAAACTCAGTGAGACTATCTCCTATAAACTACTCAAAAAAAAGCCGGAAGTGGTCCAATGGCTCCAGTGCTTAGAGCACTCACCTTGAGCAAAAAAAGCCTAGTGTCCAGGCCCAGAGTTCAAGTCCCAGGACTGGCAAAATAAATAAATAAAAAACCATATATATATATATGTGTGTGTGTATATGTGTGTGTATATATATATATATATATATATATGTATGTATATATATGTATATACATATATATATATATATATATAATCATATATCAAAAAGTCTCAGGATAATTTGTTCGAGGGAAGTCTTAGGTGAAGGCTAAAACTAAAAGAATAAAAGTAGAGCTTAGAGCCCCTGCCTGTGTCTCATGCTGCTTAGGAGGCTGAGATCTGAAGATGATGGTTTGATGTCAGCCCAGGCAGTAAAGTCTGTGAGACTTGTTTCTCTAGTCACACACAAAAAATGCCAGAGTGAGGTTGTGGCTGAAGTGGTAGAGTACTAACCATGAGCAAAAGGAGCACCCAGCCCCAAGTTCAAGCCCCAGGACTGGCACAGAAAGAAAAACTAAAGCTTAGAGAGATGAGATCTCCACTTCCACACTTATTTCTGTCTTCTCATGTGCTGTTCCTGGGTTCCAGTTTCCCATATATGAGCTCCTCTGGGAGTCTGACCAAGGGAACATAGTTTGACTGATGTTAGCATCAAAGGATTATTGGACACTGAGTAAGGCTTGAAGGCCCACAGGAAGAGCCTGTAGACAAGGCTCCTTCCACAGAATTCAGTGGCTAACCTGAAACGATTGAATTTCATACTCAGTGTTTTACCTTGACAGCAATTCTCAGGCATGGCTGGTTATTGTTACTTTCTGAAAGGACTAAGTGAATCCTACTGGACTTGAGTGAACCTTTGCATTCTAATGCCACACATTTCAGGGACCATGTTTTGAACACCAACACTTAGACAAAAGCACACCATATAGAATTTCTTTCTTAATTACAGTTGCTTGTCAGAAATTCATTTGGCCATTTTACACCATTAGTAATGATTACAAACACCTTCTCCATCGAAGAAGGAAGTGTGTGATCATCCATGTAAGATAATTTGACTTCTTCTAAGCCATGTTTTTCTAACCCTCAGGTGTCGAACATCCAGGCGAGAGCAGTGGTGCTGTCTTGGGCTCCTCCTGTAGGACTTTCCTGTGGTCCCCACAGCGGCCTCTCCTTCCCCTACAGTTATGAAGTTGCCTTATCAGACAAAGGACGAGATGGAAAATACAAGATCATTTACAGGTAGTGCCTCCTCTCATGTGTTTTTCTTAGCTGCTAAGCTGCAACATTAGAATCATTGAAGAAAAATCTGAAGCAAAGGAAAAAAGTTTCAGGCTTTGCAATTTTTCATTTAAATAGTTCTTTTTAAGAATGAATAATTATGGACACTAGAGGCCCACACCTGCAATCCCTGCTACTCTGGAGGCTAAGATCTGAGGATCACAGTTCCAAACCCGCCCGGGCAGGAAAGTCTGGGAGATTCCTTATCTCCGATTGGAGGTATGGCTCAAATAGTAGAGCACCAGCCTTGAGCAAAAAGGCTAAGCAAGCATTTCAGTCTAAGTTCAAACCCCAATAGTAGTGTGTACCCACAAGTGCGCGTACGCGCGCGCACACACACACACGGAATGAATAATTATAATGTCAAGAATTAATTTGTCTAATCATTAATCAAATTAGTAGTATAGAGTTATTTCTTATTGCTAAAATAAATCATTTAGCTTTCTTAGATGTCAGCATCATATTAATGAAATTAATTTTCAAACAAATTTTCCAATAATGTCCGTCAGGGCAAAAAAATGTCTGACTTTTATATACATTAAGCAACTCCACCATCATTTAACTCTTTAGCACCAATCTTTCATATAGTTTTCATTTAAAAAATTCTGCGATACTTTTTTTGCTTCTATTTCAACTTCTCCTTACACTGTTTCTTCTAAGAGGTACTTTAAAGCAGTTTGTTCAAAGTCTTTCTTAAGTGATCAGAAGTTTCACCTGTAGAAGAAAGGGAGCAGCCTTTTGGTTTTATGGACTCCCACATGTAAGCTGTCCAAATGATTTATACCTGTGTTGTTAACAGGGTAAAAATGTGAAGGTCAAGTCCTCCTTTTGGGATGGCTCCAGAAGGTTGCTATTTGCACATCAGGAAATCAGGCTTCTTTAATACTAGTTGGCCCTCCCAGTGGGGCCCCTAGAAAGATGCCCACACCAAGTACCTGGCTCCCATGAGCTGGTCTGTCTCCACCACAGGTGTTGGCTTTAGTCCTGCCTCGAGGCCACATCACTACACTGTCTCCTCCTCTCTGCCCAGTGGAGAGCATGCTCTGGACCCAGAGAAGAGGAAGGATGAGGAAGGAACTGCCCTTGGCCACTACCTCCTCACTTCCTACTCTGCAATGATGTCTCCTCCAGAATACCCACACACACACCCCTTGGCCTTCCTTCCGGCCTCTGCTGTAGATCTCCACAGGCTACCCTCCATGCTGAAGCGGACCCCACCCCTGAGAGAATCTGTCATCCAGAAATTGTCCACTGTGATGCAAATAAAAGCCTCACTACTCTCCTTCACAGCCATGTTTTATTTTGAAAAATCAGAATTAGATACACAGTCTAATTAGAATTTCACACTCAGGAAACATTGCACAGATAGAATGATGAAGACACAAACCTACATTGTACCCATAGTTACCAGTTGCTAAGATTTTACTATGTCTACTTTACCATTTGAACACCTGCCTTTTTCCTTTTTTTTTTTTTTTTTTCTCTCCTCTGTCATTTTATAAAAATGCTGCTGAGTATTTTGGTATATTTTCTCAGAAAAGTATTCTCTTAAAAAACTAAATGTACATCGGTATTATACTTTAATCTATGATCCATTTTTCAGTTTTCTTGGCTGACATGCAGAATGACTATTACTTAGAAAATTGTGAAAGCATTTTGTTTAGGACAGCATTCAGTCTGGTCACAGATGGCATCTAGCTGTCTTTTTAACTTTGTTTTATTTGGATCATGTCCACAGTGTTTATTTGTCTTTTGACATTTTGACAGAATACAAAATAAATTATGTCTGTGTGCACCCTCTTTACCTTTTGAGGGAAAGTTTGGGGTTTTTTTGTTTTGTTTTGTTTTGTTTTCCCAGAGAGTCTTGCTGTGTAACCCAAGCTGGCCTCAAAGTCATGATCCTTTTATTTCTGCCTCTTTGCTGTGATTATAAGCATGCATCACCATGCTCAGCTTTTTGCATTAATTTTCACATACTTAAGTGTCAGTTTGGTTGTTCCTTTTGATTACGTAAATGGTTTCATTATCTTTGGTGAATTGGTGTGTGAGAGAAGTAGTCTGTGACTTCATCAACAGTCCGTTGCTGAGGGAGTTTAAGTCCAGATGATTTGGAACCTTGGACTCTTGGAGCTGACTAATTGAGAATGGGTGTAGCTATTTACATACATATTTATTTGCTTGCTTACCCACTTTTGTCTTTTGAAAAGTGGCAAGATACTTTGGTGTTTTATTAGTATGTTGGCCATGTCATTTTTTATATCTAGCATGCATCATTAAAAGCAACCTCATTTTCAAGTCCTAAGAGAATAATAAGAGCAAATAAGAAAGCTCATTCCTGGTTTATGGTGGAGACGCATTAGCTCTGGCATCCCAAAGCCTGATTTACTTTCCACGCAGGTATTACTAATTAACAAATGTTTCTCTTTGCAGTGGAGAAGAATTGGGATGCAACCTGAAAGATCTCAGACCAGCGACTGATTATCACGTGAGGTGAGTCAGCACCCAGCAGCTAACTGTACTGGGGAACCAAGTCACTGGGGTCATGCGACCCCTTTGAAAGCCTGGTATGGAAGCCAAGCACTGTTGGCTTAAGTTGTAATCCTAGCTACTCAAGAGGCTGAGATCTGAGGATCACGGTTCAAAGCCAGGCTGGGCAAAAAAGTCCATAAGAAAAGCCAGACATGGAGCTGTGCTTCAAGTAGGGGGAATGCTAGCCTTGAGTGAAAAAGCTCAGAGATAGTACTCAGGCCCTGAGTTCAAGCACTAGTACCAGCACAAAAAAATAAAGGGCAAGAAAACAGAGCCATGTTAAGGTTGTAATATCTTATTAACTACATGAGTGCTTTAAAACTAAGTTTAGAGCAGTGTACAAAAGAGCAGATTATATCATTGTAAACAGCACATCTACTCAGCCATTATACTATGTAGATGAACATTTTTGCAACTGTTTCTTCCTGTTTACATCAAAACCTTCAGGTTTTGAGTCATTTAGCCTCCTCAAACATAATGAACTTCACACAGGCTGCACAATGTCGTATAAACTGTGATGCTAAGATAATAATAGAAATAGTTTAACCATTCTTACGCAGTCAATGGAACAGCAAACCAGAGAATGGAACCTCATAGAAGGAATACTGCAAACATTATCCATTATTCATGGCTAACATACGTTTTCTTTTATCTTTTATGTTTTAATAGTTTATTGTTACTGCCTTATTCAAGGTTTATTCTCTTAATTTCCTGTCCATTCATGAGCTTCCAGTATCCTTTTTAAGAAGTTGAAATGCCATGAAATCCAGCCCCATATTTACTATCTTGTCTCCTCTCCCTTTACTCTTTCCTGTCTGACTCCTTGCAAAGAGTAAATTTTTAGAACACTATCAGTTGACTGTCATGCTTTTCCTGCCATGTGCTGTGAACACTTGGCCTTGCAGGCAGATAAGAGGCCTGGGGACATGGGGTGGTTACCGAGCAGGGGCTGGATGTGGGCATTCTCCTGCTTCATTTGGGTATGCATGCAATGTCACAGGCATGCAGCCCAACAGATAGTATGTGGCGTAGCTCTCTGCTTGACAGAGAAATTGAAAATTCTCCCTCTGCTTGGTGACATCTAATTTACTGTTTTTCAAACAAATTCTCTCGCTTGACAGAAATGTCTACAACCTAAAATTTCTTGTATTTCCCCTGCCTAAAGCCAATCTATATGGATAATTTTGCTTTTCATTTTACACTTTATTTTTCCTTCTGGAAGAGAAAAAGTTTTAATACTTGTAACTCACTCAAGTTAATTGGTTAGGTGAGGCCATTGCCAAGTATGGATACACCATGGAGCTTGGATGTTAGGACTTGTTCCTTGCTAAGGGTACCAGCTTATACAAACCATTAACACTGCTTTGGCCTCGTTTTCATTTGTAAAAATAAAGAGAATAAGCCAGGCACTGGCAGCTCACACCTGTAATCCTAGCTGCTCAGGAGGCTGAGATCTGAGAATCAAGATTCCAAACAGGAAAGGCCATGAGACTCTCAATCTACAAGTGACCAGTAAAAAGCTAGAAGTGGAGTTGTGGCTCAAGTGGTAGAGGGCTACGCTTGAGCAAAAGAACCCTGAGTTCAAGTCCCAGGACTGGCACGAAAGAAAAAATTTAAGATGATAATAAAGCTAGCATCAGAAATGCAGGTCAAATATACATGCAGACTTGCTATAAATCTGTGAGATATTTACAAACAGAAATTTCTTTTCTTTTTTTTTTCTTGAAGTTGTTACAGTTTTTGAACAATTTAGAAGTAAAAAGAGCTTCATGATGTAGGGTTGGGTCTTTGAACTTGTTTACCATCCACTCTTCTATTGGGATGTGTCTTACTTGACACTAAGAGAAGCAAAATTCTTGATGATGATGATGATGTAGTTAAGATTTTCTAAGTCTTAATCCTAGGAATGCAAGTTTTTAATCACATAAAGGAGCCTCAACTTATCTTAAAGTTAAAGAAATACCTATAAGGCCTCAAAGGGCTGTGTGCAAATACCTCAGTTTCACCCCCTCCCAGCTGTTCAATGAGCAGATCTTGTACACTTCTGGTTTCTTCGTATTCCTAATTTTAGAAAGCATCACCCGGTACCAAGCTCACAGAAGTATGGAAGAAAACTGAGGTGTCTTTAATGTCACTAAATAGACCACATTTTCCTTCTAATACTTTTTTTGAGGGACCAGGACCTAAACTCGGGATCTTGAAACTCTAGCATGGCTTTCTTGCTCACAGCGGGTACTCCACCATCTGAGCCATGCTTCCAGCCCAGCTTTTTGCTGATATATTGGAGTTGGAGTCTTTATGGAGTATTGTAGACTTTTCTGCCCCTGCTAACCTCCAGCCATGATCTTCCAGCTCTCAGTCTCCTGAGTAGCTAGGATTATAGGCTGGAGACACCAAAGCCTAGCTTTTCTGATCCTTACAGTTGTACATTTTGATTATGACCTACAGTAATCTTAAATGATGGCTGAAGTCTCAGGGCTTCTGCAGTTACATTTGTTATTTCTGTTTTTTCCTACTCTGATTGTTGTATCCTCTTCAAAGATTATCCTGTATCTTCATAATAGTGCTTCTCCTCATTTTCACCCCATCCCCAGACACACACACACACACACAACATGTTACTCTGCTAACATGGTCAAATGGATAGGTTTTATCTTTAAGTGGCAGAGTGATTCCGTTGTGGAATCTGGCCATTGCTTGGATCAGTTGCTTGGCAGGAAAGGCTCTGATTTCTTTGTTCCTCTGGGTTCAGTGAAGCCCGAACTAGCCTGTACGCATTGCAGGGGGTTTAATGGCTGGCTGGTGTTGTGGGCATCTGCCAGACCATTTGAGCCAGTCTACCTGCAAAATTACATCTTGAAACACTTCAAGTCTTCTTAGTGTTACTCTGCTAGTTTTGTGTGCCAGTGTTAATGAATCTACTCAACTCTGTTCTAGCAAGGAAGGAAATTAGATCCTTCTCTAAAATATACATTGATTGAATAATTTAGGTCTTGGGTCTTGGTGTAGCATTTTATTACAGCTGTCACTTTTTTACTTATTAAATGGTTCTTACAGAGATTGCCTTTTTTGGTTTAAAATTGATACTGTGTTTAAAGAGAATCAACTTATAATTGTCAAAGTGTAGTTAGTGATTCTATAAAGGGTATTGTGCTATGTGTTATATAAAATTATTAACTCAAAAATCCAGTATTACTGGGGTTTTAACTCGGTGCCTAGTATTTGCTAGGCAAGTGCTTTATCATGTGAGCCATGTCCCAGCTATGTTTTTAGTTACTTTACAGGGTCTTAACACTTTTTGCCTGGGCTGGGCCAGGAACATGATCCTCCTACCGACACCTCCAACATATTGGTTGGGACTGCAGGCATGTACCACTACACCTGGCTTGTTAATTTAGATGGGTTCTTGCTAACTTTTTTTTTTTTTTTTTGTCCTGGGCTGGCCTTGAACCTCCTGCACAGTGGAGATGATAGTCTTGAGATACCACACCCAATAAACATTCCTATTTTTATCAATCATGGGATAATTAGGAATTAAATGATGGAATGGATAGCAGTTTTCCAGCTGTCAGCATAGGCAGTTTGTCAAAGAAGTTGCCCGGAGATGACATCATGTAATGACATTTCCCAGAAAAGTTATGTGATGAAATATTTCCAAAAGTATGGCGGGCCAGCATAGTGCTGGGCTATGCAGTGGGTGTTGCTGACCAGAGACTATGGCTCCTTGGCTATTAGAGATATGTGGGGGAAAGCTAGAAGTGTACTTTTGAAATTCCCAGAGGCTAGTCCATGAGATTCTTACCCTACTTAACACCAAAAAGCTGGAAGTTAAGGTGTGGCTCAAGTGATAGAGTGCCAGCTTGGAGCAAAAAAGCTAATATGCAAGAGCATAAGGCTCTGCGTTTAAGCACAGTGCTGGTATACAGACAGACAGACACCCACCCCCCCCCCCCCCACACTCACACTCATACACACAAATTATAATTATAATGTATTGTTAGGAAAACATTTGATTTTCTAGTGGTCAAAGGAAAAGAAATTCAACTGCTTGTTGATTTGTTCAACCCAAGAAATTGACCGTCTACCAATCTTCCTACTACAGAGGGTGTTTAGGGACAAATATCACCATCATGTGGGAAATGCGGGACTTTAAAATATGGCATCATTTCCCAAGAATTGCTCTTGCTTGTGCAAATTCCTGGTGGGATTGTGGCTGGTTACTGTTACAAATAGTTGCTATCTACTTACGACAGTATTTTAATTAACAGGAAATCATAGTACACTCAGATCTTGTGTGAAATTGTACTCTACACAACACACTTGCTTTCCCAAATAAATATAAATCTTGCTTTCTTTGCTGATGAACTTTGTGTGTGTATGAGTGTGTGTGAGAGTGTGTGTGTCTGTCTGTCTGTCCTTTAGCAAGCCAAGCTTCTACTCTGCCACTGAACTACATATCCAGCCATCCATAACCTTTTCAAGGTTAAGCACCACTCCATGTGTTCCATAAGTCACTCAGGATGGCCCTTCCTCCAGCCCAGGCACAGAGTACCTCTGTCAATTGTGCTTTCCTTCTAATTCCAGCAATCCTATTCTTTTTTTTTGGTCGTGGGCCTGAACTCTGGGTCTGGGTGCTGTCCCTGAGCTTTTTAGCTCAAGGTTAGTGCTCTACCACTTGAGCCACAGTGCCACTTCTGGGTTTTTCTGCTTGTGTGGAACTGAGAAATCAAACCCAGGGCCTCATGCATGCAAGGCAGGCACTCTACCACTGAGCCACCTTCCCAGCTAGCAATCCTCTTCTAAAAGCAGCAGAGAACTTGACTGGGTCCAGACTGCTTTCTCCTCAGACAACTAATCTTTTCTGATTGTACCTTGCCAGCTGTTTTCTCTATCCTGTGATCTAGATAGATTTCTGGGGCCTGTCATTTTTGTAAAGATCATGGACACAGCCTAGTAGTATACATTTCTGCTATTGTAGGGAATTGCCCAGGGATTGCAAACTGGGATTGCCTGCTTCCTGGAGGCACCAAGCCTACATGGCTGAAACAGGAGTGGGAACGGCTCAAATGGAGTCCTGGTACTGGGTGACAACGGGGAGTGGTAGGTACTGGGTGAAGTGTAGCTTCTGCCCCATGCAGGGGAATTGCTGCAGTCTGCCTTCTCCATTCCCCACAGTATGGGGAAAAGAGCCAAATCTCATTGAACTTTCTGTTCTTAAGAGAAAGCCAGCGGTGGTGGTGGTTCTTTTTTTTTTTAAATGAAATCCCAAGATGTAGACTTACATTTTACTTTTTAACTGAAGAAAATTTGAGGATGTTGTCACAAATGGATAGCAGTGGAATAAGCTCTCACAAAGAGAGTTCGTTCAGTACTTGCGTTAACTCTGGGCCCCACACCTGCCCCGGCACTGATGATGCTGACATCCAGATGTTCTATTTTCTAACCTGTCAACTGAGTTACCACCAGCACAGGCGCACCCAGAACAAACAACAGATCAACTCCTCCATGTCCTCAGAACTGAGAGGTGCTTCCCCTTCCCTTCTGTCGTTCTCAAATGGAAGTTTTGCTTTGGCTTTTTCTGTGATGGGAATGGAGATATACTGTCTGGATGGTAATTATTTAAGCCACCATTCTCGGTGTTTTTGAGTGCATAGGTTTCCCTTCATCCCTCATTGTTTTTGTTCTGTAGAAATTTCCACACATCAGCTTGGCTGGGTTCTCAACCACATTGCTTAACATACTCCCCTGCGCTCTGATTCCCAGGGAATCTGCTTTAATCCAAGCCAGATTCAGTTTTCCTGGCAGGACATTTCATCCATAGTGGCAATTTCTCTTCTCTTTTATTTATTTTCTTCTTAGAGTCAAGGTCTTGCTATGGAGCCCAGACTAGCCTTGGATTTGCACCCTTCTGGCTTCATCTCCTGAGTGCTGGGATTATAGATGTCAGCCGGTTGCTCTTGTTAGGAATGTTAAAGACTGGTGGTCTCTTTTTGTGATTATTGATTTCTGTATCCTCTACTTCCTAGTTGGGCTGTAATATAAAGATACCTCCACTCCAATACACTCATAGCTTGAGCTCGATGTAATCTGTAAACCACCATTTGAAGAATTATGGTCTAATAAAATTTAGGCTTGGGCTGGGAAGGTGGCTCAGTGGTAGAGTACTTGTCTTGCATGCATGAGGCCCTGGCTTTGATTCCTCAGCACCACATAAGCAGAAAAAGCCAGAAGTGGTGCTGTGGCTCAAGTGGTAGAGCGCTATCCTTGAGCTGAAGAGCTCAGGGACAGTGCCCAGGCCCAGAGTTCAAGACCCATGACTGGCCAAAATAAATAATAAATTAAAAAATTAAAAAATTAAATTTAGGCTGGATCCCTGCCCAAGTCTGAAACATTCTGTGATTCATTTTAAGTAATTGACTCCCACTGAGCCTGTCCTGACACATGGAAATGATCTTGCCAGATCTCCCCTTTGGTTTTATGTTATCATATGCCTAGAAAGTGTGTATATTCAATATTAGAAGAGTTTCTCTGTTGTATTTTTTATGCATATCCTCTATGAATCTTCATTAGAGGCAGTAGAAGAAAATGACTTTGCATATCACACACATAATTAAGATTATCTAGCTAGCTAGCTAGCTAGCTAGCTATCTATCCATCCATCTATCTATCTAATCTGTCTATCTGTCTGTCTACCTGTCTATCTATCTAGGTGCTGGTACTGGGATTTGAACTTGGGGGCCTGGGTGCTATCCCCTTAGCTTTTTCATTCAAGGATGGTGCTGTGCCACTTGAGCCACACCTCACTTCTGGCTTTTTGTCGGTTAAGTGGAGATAAAAAGTCTTACAGACTTTTCCTGCCCAGGCTAGCTTTGAGCCGCAACAATCCTCAGATCTTAGCCTGTTGAATAGGTAGGATTATAAGCATGAGCTACCAGTGCTCACTCAGCTGATAATATTTTCTTTGCTGCTGTTCAAGCTCATTGAATAGAGGGAGGGGAAGTGGCCATGGACATTTAGAGGAGCATGACTGCAGGTTGAGCATGGTGGGTAGGCAGTGTGGCATGATGGGTAGGCAGTGTGGCATGGTGGCTAGCCATACACACTGAGCAGAGTTGATCCAACTTCTAGCAGTGTAGCCTCAGGACATCTCCTTCATCTCTGGGAACTTCCTTCCATCTTCCGTGGGGTAATGACTTCCCTCTATGAGAGAGGGTACTTGCAAGAATTGTTTATAAGCTGAGTAGCTTCACCTGGTATGTTTTAATGGTATCAAGCCTTCTTCATACTCATTTGGGAAGAGTGTGCTTTCAATTGAAAAAAAAAATAATTTTCCATATAAAAGAAGTGGAAAGCTAGAAAGTATTGTGAGGAAACTTGTGTTATTTGTGGTTAGAAAAGAGCAGGGTAGTGTATGTCCTGTCTTCACAGCTTCTCTTGAGACTCCACATGCATGTGTTCATTATTGAGCTAAGTGCTTTGAAAGTGGAAAACAAGCAGCTTTGTGCAAGATTGCAAATACTCATATGGATAAACTGTGTCTGAACACTGTATTTGTTTTAGGAGAGAGAGACAGATACTCAGCTGTAGCAAACATGTTTATGTGTGAACATCCATTTTTACCTATGTATGAGCAGTGGGTTCTGCTAGATGCTGTGGTGCCTGCCTGTAATCCTAGCTTATCAGAAGGCTGAGATGTGAAGATTACAGTTCAAAGCCAGCCTAGGCAGAGAGTCTTTATTTCCAGTTAACCAGCCAAAAGCTAGAACTAGAGATGTGGCTTAAGAAGTAGGGTGCCAGCCTTGAGAAAAAAGGCTAACCAAGAGCTTGAGGCATTGAGTTCAAGCCCCAAACTGGAATGCGCACACGTGCACAAATTACTTGAAAGATGCATATCCCATGCTTTTTCTTTCTCTCTTTCCAGCCTGTGAACTCTGATCATTGAGTCTTAAGCTTTTCTACCAACTTTTAGATCTCCATATAAAGTCAATCAGAGAATAGCTTGATGGAATTTAGAACAAAGATTTAGAGACCAATCTGGGGATTAGCGTTTCTTTTCTTGTTCTTTTTTTGTTCTGAGGTTTGAACTCTGGGCCTGGGTGCTGTTCCTGAGCTTTTTCTCAAGGCTAGTACTCTACCACTTTAGCCAAAGCTCTATGTAAGTTTTTTTGGTGGTTTATTGGAGATAAGAGTCTCACAGACTTTCCTGTTTAGGCTTGCTTCAATCCTCAGTCCTCAGATCTCAGCCTCCTGGTTAGTTAGGATTACAGGTGTGAGCCACAGGCACCTAGCAGATTCATTTGCTTGTTGTAAAACAGGGTTGGGTGAAGCACATTTAAACATAGGCCAGTTGGGATGGTTGCCCCTGTAGTACTTTCCACTGCTAGATCAGAACCAGACCAGCAGGTCAGAGCACAAGTCACAATGCTCCTTCTGCTCACCAAGGATAGCCGGCAGGCGAGGGTGAGTACCAGAATCCTGGTCTTGAATCCCAGCTCCCCACACTGACTGACTGTTCTCTTTACAGGGTGTACGCCATGTACAATTCTGTGAAGGGATCGTGTTCGGAGCCAGTTAGCTTCACAACCCACAGCTGTGCCCCGGAATGCCCTTTCCCTCCCAAGCTGGCACACAGGAGCAAAAGTTCCCTCACCCTGCAGTGGAAGGTGGGTACCCCAGACTGTGGAGAGCCATCTCCCATCAGTGTCCGCTGAGGCCATTTGAAATCACAGCTTCTGTTCTGCTAGAGCACTTGGCATGGTCCATAGTCAGTCACATTGCACAAGCACTTATTATGATAGCAGAAGTTGCCATTTCTAGAAGACTTGACCAAGGGATGGGAAGAGGACCTTGGAATTCAGTTTCCATGAGAGATTATAGATCTTCTAAGATTAGAACTAATAAGTGATATAAATATTTAAAAATAACTAAATTCCCATACTTTCTTATAGTTGATTTTATTTCAACAAATGTTTGAGAACTTCAGCATGCTATTTTTATAATGAAAGATGGAGAGAGAAAGTATGGTTATAGTTTCTATCATGAGTGACTCAAAATATTTAATATTAAAAACTTCCCAGTGAGGCTCCAGTGGCTCAAGTCTGTAACCCAATTTACTCTGGAGTCTGAGAACTTAGGGATTGTGACTCAGGCAGAAAAATTCAATAGACTTCATTTCTAAAACAAGTAGCAAAAACCACAGGGCTGGGCTAGCTGTGTGCTGGTGGCTCACACCTATAATCCTAGCTACTCAGGAGGCTGAGATCTGAGGATTGAGGTTTGAAGCTAGCCCAGGCAGGAAAGTCTATGAGACTCTTCTTTCCACTTAACCACTCAAAAAAATGGAAGTGGAATTGTAGCTCAAAGTGATAGAGCCCTAACTTTAAGCCGAACAGTTCAGGGATATTGCCTAGGCCCTGAGTTCAAGCCCCATGACTGAATAAAAAAACAGGACTGAATGCATGGCTCAAGTGGTAGCACCATCCAAGCCAGCAAGCCTTGCAAGTATAAAGCCCTGCATTTAAAAAATACTGCCACCAAAAGATGAAGAAGAAGGAGAAGAAGGAGAAGAAGAAGAAGAATTCTCCCCAAAATATATAGTATTCTAAACTATATTTAGACATTATTAGTTTTGGCTAATTAGTCTTTAGATGTTTCAGGATAGTTAAAAGTCTAAATTATATAGTAAATCTTGTAAAAATACAATGTACTGACTAAAAAAATAATTTAAAAAAATATTACCAAAGCAGAAATCGTATTGAACCTTCTTTAAAGTGTGTCCTTAGCTATGTTTTTAAGAAACAAGATCACTCTCAACCTCCTTAATAATTTTTATGTTTTGAAATGCAGTTACAGGGCAGATCATAGGTCAGCTGGCGTTGTGTGGTTTGGTAGGGATCTAGTGTGAGAGGTAAGTGGCTGGGAGATGAGCTGAGAGGAGCCCTCAGTTGTGACCACGTGGGCTTCTCTGTGTCCTCGTGGGGGGCCGCCAGTTCCATAGCCAAGAGCCAGCCCTCAGTGTATTGTTGGGACAGAGGCAAAGCGTGGATGGCTTAGAATCTGAACTATTTTATTTTCCTTTCTGGCTGCCAGGGATAATGCAGGTCAGTGATTTCCCACCTTGTCAGAGTTTTCACAAACACCTGGTCATCTTGCTTAATACCTTGATGAATATCCATCTGTTTATTAACACATGTTTACTTATGTAAATGTAAGGAAAGAATTTAAAAAACGTACTGATAGTGAAAAAATATATAAGCTCTTAAGCTTACCAGAGGGATCCCGGGGTCTTTCCAACCTAAAGTTGGGAATCACTGATAACATATTTTCTCTGCTTAATATCATACCTCAATAAAATTCAGGTCTCAGGCAGACAGAGCAATATGAGGAAAGTTCAGTTGAGAATCAGAAATACATTTTTAGCTTATTCATTCTTACCCAAGCATCAAAGTCCTGGATTTTCTGATCATAGTGCTTCAAGTAGAAGGCAGAGGACAGGGGACATTCTCTGTCTATGACCTGTCCCCACTTCCATAAACTCACTGAGAGAACTAAAGATCTGCTGGCATCTACCAGAGCCTGTTTCTGTAGAGCCAGCAGACTTGGCTGAGTGAGAGTCCATCTGAAGAATGCAATGCCCACGGGGCAGGATAGCACTGAAAAGTCTACTCCTTGAGTAGATTCAACAAACCATCAAAGAACTTCTTACAAATGGGTTCTTGTCACTTATTGAGAACTTTAAATGCATTCTAGCCTGTCTTCCAGGCCCCAAAAGCCTGAGATGACAGTTTTATACTCCCCTGGGCTCAGAGTTTTAAGACTCAGGTTTTGTGACACAGAAGGAGAGAGAGAGGAGGTAGGAGGGCTTTGAATATGACACTTAATCTGCTTGGTTAACAGTAGTAAACAGTGACTGTTTACTGAGTATTTCTCATAAAACTGGATAGTTTCATAGTGATTTACATACATTTGCCCAGTTATTTACCACAGCTATCTGTGACAGAATAAGAAGTCAGACATGGATATTAAACAGCCAATTCCAGGATGCCCTTGACAGGCAGGTAGCCGGGTCCAGAGTCAGATGCAGCAGCAGGGCGGGACCTTTCCCACAATTCTCCAGACTCTTGTTATTTTCCAAAGGAAGAGCCAGGCCCAGGCTGTGAAATCAAAGCCGGAGTCTCCTTTTCAGCTTTCCAGCTTTCCTTCTGAGCGTTTGTGCCCCACTGTGGGGCCCTTCTTACTAGTCCAATTCTGCAAAGCATCCTTTTCTCCAAAGTTCTCTTTTTTGGTTTTCTCAATAAAATAGATGTCAAGAGAGGGAAGGAACTGATGGAGCTTCTTTCTGCTAACTTAAGGAGCAAACAGCCTCTGTCAGTCTGTCCAAAGGGTCCTTTCTCCTTAGACACCACACACAACTTTCTAATCTTAACAACCCCATCTTACAAGCACACAGACTTGCTTGTGTCTCCTAAACCCCAGCAATGCTTGTGTTTCTCAGTATCTTGTTTAATCACTTGAATTCAAGGTGATGAAATCTTCAACGTTTTGTCCACTGAGGAAGTAGGACCGCAGGGGCCTCTGGGCGGAAGTGGTGGGAGGAGGCGGTGTGGCCATTTGTGGCATGGCTTACTGGTTGTGAATTCTGTCTTGGGGCTAAGCTGCACTCAAGCTGGTGTGGGGTGCTTGCCTAGAGGCACCAGGGACTGCCGGGGGTCTCTCAGAGAGAGCACGCGACTGTCATAAGCCCCGTGTTGAAGCCATGTTGGTAGCTCGTAACTTGTTTTTGAACAGCTTTCTCCAATGTCATTTTGTTATTTTTTTAGGCTCCAATTGACAATGGTTCAAAAATCACCAACTACCTTTTAGAATGGGATGAGGTAAGCATATTTTCACATTCATCCATCGAAAACACCATTTCAAAGATAAATTGCTGAGCAAATATCATCATATATGTTTTTAGAAGACATGTTAATCGGGGTGAGGGGGGGATCTTAAGCGGAGACAAATTTAATAGTTACTGACCTAGAAAGGAAAACAAGTTGTTGAACAATGAATTGCACATTAAAACCTATTTCCCTGGTTTATTTTTGAGCTGAACTGTGGAAGATAGGGTATTAGCTGTGTTGACTCAGTGTATCATCAGGCATAAATTTGTATTAAAAATAGACAGTTTTGTCAGTTTGACCACTTGATGGGTTTTGTTGTTGTTGGCTCTTTGATTTTGTCTTTATGGTTTGTCCCATAAACATGTTCATTTATGTAAACAGTGCATCTTGATGCTTTGTGGTGTTGATGGGGTGAAGTACCGGGTTTGGGAAATATGTCTTGCACTCCCTTTGTAGAAAATGACACCTACCTGTTGCTTGCTGTAGACCTGGTGAGCACTCACATGGGAGAAAGGCAGAAAGGCGCTCCCCCCCCCCCCCCCGGGCCTAGGGCCTGAGCCTTGCGCCCCAGAATCATGTCTGCCACGGAGGTTCTCTGCCAGCTAGTGGCCCAGGCGCCGCCATCACAGGCAGCAAACGCCTGGGCAGAGGAAGCCCTTGGTCTCTAAAAAGCAACTGTGCTCTTTTGTTCCTAGAGATCTAAATTCCATTCATTCATTCCCCCCTGCTTTTATTCTGTCTTCTTCTGTGGTGGATCAAATAGTAAAAGGATTTTAAGAACAGAAAAGGTGGGGTTAGAGAAGAAATCCATGTTTTTGTAACTTAACTGGGGGTGAAGGGATTGAAAAATCCAAAGTATAAGTTTAAACAAAAAGTGACAACTGTTACAGAAAAATATTCCAACAGAATGCAAAAGGAATATAAATATACATATATACATACATTCATACATTTGTACACACACACAGAAGCAAATTGACTGAAGTTCAGTATATGCCCAGAAGATATGTAACCAATGATGTATAACCTTTTTGAACAACTAACTTTCGTTTAACAGAATGAATACCAGGAGGCTGAAATGAGTTTGTCAGGGGAGAGGTCATGGGGAGAAGGTGCAAAATAATGGCTAGAGAGGACAGGTGGGTGGATGCAGGTGTAATACTCAATGTACACCTGTAAAAATGGAACGAGGTAACTTGAGGGCATGGGTGGAGCTAGGAGAGATGGAGAGAATGGTAGAAGGGGTGACACTGATCATGATGCATTGTACCCATAAAACTGATACGTGGAATCAAACCCTTCTGTACAACTACTTTAAGATTAAAAACAGAACAAGAGGAAGAAGAAAATAAAGAAAAAATAACCGGATGGAATTCCCAGGATGGAATTTTGATGCAGGATGTTGTTTTCTGTGAAAGCTGGCTGCATCGAAGCAGCTTGACTTCCAAGTTCGAAAAGACAGTGATCCATTGTTGTCAGAATGCTTGTGAATAGCTGATATGTACAGATTGGCCAAATCTCAGACTTATCTGGGACACTCTACCTGCAAGGTGGATCTCATTTGTAAAGGCTTTGGTTAGAAAAATGAAGGCTCCTCTGTAGCCCTCTTAGATGGTTACAGACAGTCGAGAAGGCTAGATGGGAGCTGTCATTATGTCTCCTCTTCCCCCTCCTCCAGGAGAAGAGTGGAAGCTCAGTGCCACCCTGCTTCTATGTGTTGACCTGATGTGTTTGTTTTCTCTCATGTCTTGATGTTTTCTAGATAAACTTTACTAACAAGAGGAGTGTGTGTGTGTGTGTGTGTGTGTGTGTGATGTCTGTCTGTCTGTCTGTCTCTTGTGGATTTTGCTGCTTCTCTGCTTGGAACTGTGATCAACTAAGTTCAGGAGGTCAGCAAGCTTCAGCACTTAACTGGGAAGGTCTCCCTAGCTCTGCAGAAAATGGCTGTGGTGACTCAGGTGCTCGCTGCTCCCCTGAGAGGGGTGTGTGTGTGTGTGTGTGTGTGTGTGTGTGTGTGTGTGTGTGTGTGTGTGTGTGTGTGTGTGTGTGTGTGTGTGTGTGTGTGTGTGTGTGTGTGTGTGTGTGTGTGTGTGTGTGTGTGTGTGTGTGTGTGTGTGTGTGTGTCTGTGTGTCTGTGTGTGTGTCTGTGTGTGTGTCTGGGGCTTGGACTCAGGACCCGCACTGTCCCTCTGTCCCTTATATTTTTGCTGAAGGCTAATGCTGTACTATTTGAGCCACAGCTCCACTTGTGGCTTTTGGGTGACTTATTGAAGATAAGCATCTCACACCTGTGAACCATTAATCCTCAGATCTCAGCTTCATGAGTAGCTAGAATTACAGGCATGAGCCACCAGTGCATGGCTATTCGGTAGTGTATTTGCTTTATAGTCTACTTCTCTTAGCCCATTTATAAAGACTAAACAATGGTTTTATTGAGTATCCTGGCATGGAGAATAGATAAAAAGATGACAAGGTCATTTCTGCTCATGATTTTGGAAGTGAAATTTCTGACCAGACAATCTAGCAGTGTGTGAGTCTAAACTTGAACGTAAGCTGGCGGTCAGTAGCCCTCCTGAGAACAGGTTCCTCATGCTGGTCTCTGAGTTCCATAGTCTCACTTTACCCAGGCATTGGCTGCAAGGAAGGAAACCAAACGTTCAAACAGCACCTGGCCTGCAAGAAGTGTAGCTCCACGAGGCCTGTGCTGGCCCTCTGAAACCTGTTGGTAGATTCTGGTACCAGATGTTGCCCAAGTAGGGTACAGAAAGATTGTGAGGTGCCTGAGGAGAGTGTCACTGCCTGAGATGAACAGGGGTGAGCTCAAAGGAGATCTTACTCAGGAGGAATGAAGTATTGCAGTCCTAGTGAGAGTATATTCTTTTGCTCAATTTATAGTCAAAGGAGAAGCCACCTTTACGTCTGCTAAGATCTACAGAGCTGCACTGAGCTAACCATCTTTGAAAGATCTGTCTTGAGCAGAAGCTTAACCACATGGTCATCTCCTGAGAACCAGGGAAGGCATGGCTTGAGGCTGGAGAACAGTCCTGGCCCTGCCATCATGCATTCAAGTTCATTGTCACAGAATCCACATGCTGTTTCTCCAGATGACTTGATAAGAGTTCACTAGCTACCCATTCTTCACTAATGACTCGATAGTCCCTTAGTGGAGTAAATGACGATGGAGCAAGGAAAACTGCAACTTTCAGGCGTCCCCGGTTTCTCAGCTGGTCTCAGTTTTAATTTTCACCTGCCATGAGTCGTTTGGGGTAACCTGAAATGGTAGCTGGCCAAGGACCCACACTGGAATGACTGTGATAAGTCTTAAGGTTCAGGGCTTTCCTTGGTGATTGAGAATGGGCCCTGCACTGCTGCAGCCCTCCGGCCTCTGATTCCTCCCATAGGTGGCTCCATTTCAAGCAGAAAGAACCGCACACTTGTTAGGCAGGGCTCTTACTTGAGCCATGCCCCCAGTCCCAGAGGGTTTAGTTTTAACCCTTTCTACTTGGTTACTCCTGTGTGTGTGTGTGTGTGTGTGTGTGTGTGTATTGGTTCTGTGGTTTGAATGTAAGGCCTCTCACACTTGTTTACTTTCTCAAAGCTGTACCACTTGAGTCACACCTCCACTTCCTGCTTTTTGGTAGTTAATTGGAGATAAGAGTCTCATAGACTTTTCTGCCCATGCTAGCTTCGAACCTTGATCCTCGGATCTCAGTCTTTTGCGGTGGCAGGATTGCGGGCACCCAGCTGATTATCGGTTGCTGATTGTTGATCTTCCTGACTCCACCTCCATGTTTATTTTAATCTGTTAGTAATCAAAATGACAGAAGGTAACCTGAAACTTCTAAGAGGTTATTTCTGCTATATTTCAGCATTGTGCCTATTACCTACCAGTTACCTCCTACCTGGGCCCTGGGCCCTCTTGGCAGCCTTTCTAGCTCACTTGCCCTTATGCCACTTCTAGCTGGACTTCTTGACACATGTTGGTATCTAGTGGAACAGGAGATTTGGAGGACCCAGACACCACTAAGGTAGGGAGGAACTTTAGGAAAATAGTGGACAGCCATTGCATGGGATCTCGTAATTGTCTGCTCCATCTGTGTTGAGGTTCCCAAATAGATGAAAAACAATTTTTTTTGAAAACTTGGGGAAGGGGAACATATTTCATGGTCACATAGGAACTTGCCTTTCCAATTTAGGGGAGGAAAAAGCAGGTTGTGTAAGGGAAGCATGTTTGGAGTCTGAGCGTCAAAGTTTTACTCTAAAATACTGCTTTCATTAATTGTGCTAGGCAAATGTGGCAGTGTGGTAGCCGGTCACTCAGAGCAAAACCTGAGTCTCCTAAGATGGCACCATGAGTGTGTGCCATGGATTCATGGTGACGTTGTTTAATTGGTGATGTGGTGTTGATCCACAGAGTCCCGGATTAGTGTTTGTGTGGTCTGTGTGTTCCTCACTGGTTAGGGGGACCTCAAACAAGCAACTGGGCCTCTGAGCCTCAGTCTCTCCACTTGCAACACCATGCTGGTATGTCAGGGCTGCTCAGATTACCTGGGCACATAGCAGATGCACTGTTTTGTTCAAGTGCGCTTCAGTAGATGTTAAGATGTGAGGTAGGACAGCAGTTAAGACTGTTTGAAGAGAATGTGATAGAAGGAATTTAAGCAGGAGTCCTGGGGCCTACGTTGCTGGTTTGAACTGAACAGAAACTGATTACCAGTGCAGTCCGTAGATGTAAATATGTCATTGGCACAACTTTCTGCCATGACATGTAAGGGACATGTGGAAGATCCAGGCAAAAGAAAAATCACCTTGTGAGAATAAGATAGGTAAAGTTCCCCTGGATCGCTGTGACTCAGCTGGCCCAGAAAAGAAGTTCACATCCACATCTGGTTTCCTGGTGACTAAAGAGCCAACACAGCTGTGAAACTAAGAACAATCTAACCATAGAAACGAAGGCAAACACAGCATGAAGTCATATGACATAAAAGGCC